GACACAGGCCAACATATGACACACTGTCAGTTGCCTGCCTATCTGATGGAGATGAGCTGCTGTCCTGGAGACTTCTCCTTGCCTGGAAGTGTGAGGGTGGAGGGAAGGTGGTTGAGAGCAGGAGCCCCCTGGAGAGGTGATGGGTGGATAGGAGTTCCATTCTGGCTGCTCTGATGGTGCCTACCCATTCACAATGGGTCTCCATGCTGGCAAAAGGCAAGCACTCACCATTCCCCTCACTGGGGCTCAGCTTTGCCATTGGTGAAGTGCGAGATTGATCTAGATGATCTAGATGGTCTAGCTGGCTTCCAGCACAGCTGAGAGGCCCCAGTGGCACAAGACTCCGAAAGCTTCTTTGAGCAATCACAGGTCTGTGTTGGTTAGACCGAGCCTTTGTAACAATCCAGGCAAAGATGCTCCCTTCCAGTCCTTCCTGGTGCTCTTGCACTTCCCCAACAGAATCCTCAGGCCACAGTCCCCAGCAGGGGTTATATAGGTGGCCAGACTGGGATCTCTAACCTCAACCTGGGCCTCTGCCTCTACCCTAAGCAGCTCAGCTGCCTGGAGCCAGCTGGAGGGGTGGAGAGAGAGGACTTCAGACTGGCAGGAGTGGAACTGCCCTTCCTATCTGTCTCCTTCCCTCCAAGGCTCTGGAACTAGCTCCACTTTCCTCCCCAGCCTGAGGAACTTCAGCATCTTTTGCCCAACCACCAAGCCCTCTGCCCTCTTAGTTTCCTGACTTCTTATCTCCAATGCTCAATTCCTTCATTCCACCTCAGCTACAATTCCTCATACCTCATCACCTTCAGGACTTTATCACCCTTGTCATCACCCTGAACCATTCCACGTCTGAGAAACCCTGACACCCTACTCTCGACTGTAACTCCACTGCTACCTCCATACAAACACGGCTACAGCACAAACACTGTTCTAAGCCATAGATGTGTGTGTGTGTGCGTGTGTGTGTGTGTGTATATATATATATATATAATTTTTTTATTTTTATTTTTTTGAGATGGAGTCTTGCTCTGTTGCCCAAGCTGGAGTGCAGTGGTGCAATCTCGGCTCACTGCAACCTCCGCCTCCCAGGTTCAAGCGATTCTCCTACCTCAGCCTCATGAGTACCTGGGACTACAGGTGCGCACCACCACACCTGGCTATTGTATTTTTAATAGAGACGGGGTTTCACCATGTTGGCCAGGATGGTCTCAATCTCCTGACCTCATGATCCGCTGGCCTCAGCCTCCCAAAGTGCTGGGATTACAAGCATGAGCCACCACGCCTGGCCGCCCTTTATATATATTAACTCATGTAAGTGCCATGGCAACACTTAGGTAGCACTACTGCTGCCACTAATTTATGGATTGGGAAACAGAGGCCGGAGAGGTTAGAAGAATCGCCTAAGGTCACAGACATCATGGTAACATATGGCATAGCTGTGATTCAAACCTAGGCTGTGTGTCTCCTAAATCTGTGCCTTTCATAACCCCACGCTGCCGCTGGCTGTAACTGTTCTTTGATCTCATGCAATCCCTGGACCTCTGCATTTTTCTCCATGATCCTCTTGCTTCCACTTCTGTCTGCATCTACCCAAGAACCCAAACTGACTTATTTCCATTACTCTCTTGCAACTTAACTTGTCCCTTTGTCCTTCTGCCAAAGCTGCCAGCAAAGCCTCAGTTGCAACAGTCTGGCTTTGTGCCACCTCAAGTCTGTGCCTAAACTGCTAAGCCTTGTAGGTGAAAAACCCACGGCTGGGTGGCATGGGCTGTTTGTACATCCACATCCCTGGCATCACTGTGATCCTTAAGGATACTGGGAAACCTCCCACTTCCTAGTCTGAGCTCACCAACCCGTCACTGGACCGCACCTCCCACTGGATGCATCTAAGAAGGCCTCTCCCATCTTGAAACAAAACCCTCCTTCAACCCCACATCTGCCTCCAGCTAACATCTGTCCCTTTCTTGAAAGCACTGTCTACCGTATATATCTCACCTCCTTGTCAAGAGTCAGTCCACTCCAGTCTGGTTTCTGCCCCATCACACCACAGACTCTGCTTTCACCAAGGCCACCAGCTGACTCCTTTTTGCTGAATTCCATGAACACTGTTCAACTCTTAGCTAACTTGACGTCTCCAGAGCTTGGGACCTACTGAAGCCTCCCTCCTGGAAACATACTCTTCCCCTGGGATACAGTTCCCTCAATTTCATCTTCACCTACACAGCCCACAGACCCAGCCAGAAAACCTGGGCTTCATCCTCAGCTCCTCTCTCCCCAGGCTTCCCTCCACACATTTGCCATCTATCACTAAGCCCTGCAGACTCTCCCCTCCAAGCGTCCCGGAATCCATCCCTTCCTCTCTAGTCTCATCACTGCCCCATCTCTCCTCCTAGGATCCTCACAGCTGCTGCCCAGCCCTGCCACCCTCCTCATCCCTGCCTTGATTTTGCTCTTGCGGGCTGACCTCACCAGGTGTGTGAGCTCGCTGTGCCTGAGCCATGAGCCTACTTGCTCTTCCCTTGGCTGACCCCAGCTCTACCTTCAGAGTGCAGCGGGGATGCTGCTTCCTTCCTTCCTTCTTTCAGATTTCCGAAACTCTGCAAATCAGGGCTCCTAAACTCCTGATACCCTCATGGTGCCATGACTCCTGTATCCAGGTCTGCAGGCCCTAGCCATCTTCCTTGAGGGCCAAGATTATGTCCACCTTGTTTGGGTGCCTGCCTCTCCCCAGGTGAATATGGGTTAGATAAATGGCCCAGTGAACGTTGGTTAAGTAAATGGTGGGGGGAGACATTGGTCAGAAGGGCTCGTTTTCGGCCCTCCTGGCTTCTCCTGTCTCTTGGATTTGAAGTTGCTCTGTGCTCTCTTCTCTCCCATCCCCTCCTCACTTTGGGCTTTGGGGAGGACATGGAGGGGACAGGTGAGATTCTAGGGCAGAGTCCTACCCAGTTCAGAGCAGGGTGGGGTCAGAGTGGAGCAGAGGAAGCCCCGGAGCCGCCAGTGCCTGTGGAGTGTCTCCCCTTCTCCTGCATCCGTCTCTGTCTTTCTCAGCCCTGTCCTCTCAGGGCTACAGGTTTTTGACCGCTTCTCCGGGCACTACTCCTGTCCCCTGGAGCTCAGGCTGGATGGAGTCTCTTCCCCGTTCCAGTAAGTGTCCCCTCCTCAGCCCCCTCCCGCCAGCCTCCCACAGCTCCTTCACTTGCCTGAGCCGGTCCGTGGACACTTCCCTGTGGGCCTGACCCGGCTGACCCCTGAGCACCCTGGGTCAGCAGGAAGGAAGGATCCCTCGAGCGCAGGACAGCCAGGAGAGAGGCCGGGCACCCCCTCCCCGCTGGCTTCTAGGGCCTGGGCCGGCGCACAGCACGGGGGTTGGAGGTGGGGTCGCCCTCTCCCACGCGGCTGGGTTTCCGGGCGGGCCGGGGGGGTGGTCCTGGACCGAGCAGCTTGGAGACTCTGGATCAGCAGGTGGGTGGGAGAGGGCACCCCGTCCTGGACCCCTAGCCGGTGCGCGCAGGGCAGAGACGCGCAGACCCGCTCCCACTCGGCTCGGCTCCCCTGGCGCAGCCCCCGCAGCGGCGGCGGTGGACTGGGAGGGGCCAGCGCGCTGGCCTGTGCAGGTCCCCAGCCGCCTCCCGCCACTCGGAGCCCCTCTCCTCCAAGCGTTGGCCGCCGACCCTCAGCTCCCCTTCAACCCTGGGCGAGCGGGGTTCTTACCATACACCTCCCCTCTCCACTCCGTTCCGTCCTCCCCTTCTCCTCCAGGCTTCGCGGTCTGCAAGCACCCTTGCAAATAACTCCTAGCCCACCCACACCGTCTCGTCCGCACTTTCCGAGAGCCAGGCACGGATATATTGCAACTCACTCTAGGGCACGGGTACAAGTCGAAGTGGCTCTGCCTTCAACTTCAAATGGATTCTCCACCTTTTCAGGAGCGGGCTGGAGCTGTGGGGCGGAGGAGAGGTGGAATTTTTCCGGGGATGGGCTTGTTTCCAGCATCCCTTCCAATCAACCACCAATCCTGCACCCTAGAAAGGGGTGTGGCCACGAGCCTGTCTAGCGGGTGACTCTATCTCCTGGTGGTGTGTGTAGGAGCTTTTTGGTTTGAGGGCTGGGGAGGGAGTGCTGGGCAGCAGGCCCACCTCCAGGCTGGGCTGTGTGGGAGGGAAGACTGAGGTGCTGACTTTTCAGACCCTGGAGGAGTTCAGCTGAAAGAACATCTCTCCAACCTCTGCCTTCATTCATTCACTTATCCATTCATAAACCCTACTGCAGCCTTCATGCTGACAGTGACCCTGTGGGGAAGGGCTACCGTATCCTCCCTTTGCATCCGGGGAAAGCCAGGCTCAAGGCCCCACAGCCTCTTGCCCCAGCCCCTGGGAACCAGGATGTGAGTCTTATCTCCAAACTCCAGCCCCAGCCTAGGCAGTCCTCTTCCAGGTTGGCCCAGCAGGGATGCGACTTCAAGGAAGCTGCTTGGACCAAGCACCCTCCACCTTTGGGTCACTTGTGTGTTCTCAGCACCCAGCCCAGGGCCAGGCACAGTCATAGTCACAGTCCTGGTGTGAGAATGGCTATTGGAAAGAACCAATTTCTTTTCTTGAACAGACTACTGGAAGAGCTTGGTTCAAAGACCTGTCCCTGTCCACGCCCCTGTCCCATGCTGAAATATTGGAGGGTTCTACTTCTCCCTAATGCTACCGTACTACCCATGCCAGCTGGGCCTGACCTCACCTTTTCTCAAAGTGTGAGGGGGAGAAGCCACATGTCTCCACATTGACTACTCCTGTGACTATGGGAGTGGGGAGGTTGAGGCTGGGGATGTACTTGAGGAAAATGTATTGGGACATTCACCTGGGCTGGAGGGAACATGTTTCAGGAAGCCCACAGCAAGGAAAAAGAGGAACTAGAGGATCAGGCTCAAGAATGTCCACTCAGTTTAAGGGTCCTTTGAAGCCTCACCCAGTTCTTCCCTGGTGGACATAGCTCTTGCTGTTGTATGTTTTCATTCCTTGATTTACTGCACCTGGCCCCCAGCATGTCTGTGCCTGGCCCCGCCAGGCACTGGGGATTCCGTAGCCCCATCCTGGGGAGAGCTTGGCTGAGAGGGGTTGATGGGCAGGGGGTAGGGAACCACCCTCTCCACAGCTCAGGCTCCACATCCCCCACTCCCATCCCCTCCACCCTGGGGCATCTCTAGGGCACTGAGGTGAGGATCGAAAAGATGGATAGGAGGAAGGGTCACCTCCTCATTGATTGAGTAGGGACCAGCAGCCTGAGCTATTGTTGAGGATAATGAAGGAAAAGAGAAGGGGCAGGGAATAGGCAGCAATTGGGTGGAGAGGAGAGAAATTCAAGGAGAGAAAGTTGCTTCTCTCAGCTGAAGGAACCGAAGTCTCTACACCTGGCCAGCATTTGTGGAAGGCAGCCCCTTCGTGGAGGTCTGTCACACTGTGGTCAGAGAGCTGATCCCTGCCGCCCGTGCAGAGGACAGCAGAAGATAGAGCCTTGGACAGGGATAGACAGACCTGGCTGCAGGCCTGGCCCCGTGACCTTTCACCATGGGACTCGATGAGTCCTTTTTCCAGTGGGGCCTCAGCTTTCCCATCTGAGATGGACTCTGCTGCTTCAGAAAACTTCGGTTTTCCCACATCCACTGGGGTGTCTTCTGGGTGCCTGGCCCTCTGCTCCCACTCTCAGGAGGGGAAACAGACAAAGGCCACTCAGAGTGATTGGGCTGTGAAGGAGGGAAACCCTGGGGCTGGGAAGCACAGTAAAGTCAGGGGAGGCGTCTAAGAGGAAGTGCCACCTCCACTGATCCTGGGAGAAGGACACTATTTCTAGCTTGTCTTCTGCTCACTAAAGCAGGCCAGAGGCCATATGGACAGGGCGTCTCTGTGGAGGTCACACAACTCTGCCTGGAGGGTGCAGGTGTGGAGGGAGGAGCAGGGTTTTCTGTGAGGCCACACCTGGGCCTCCTTGCTCCACACTTGCTCTACCCATGGTAGATGGGACTTTGAAGTGGCTTCCCGGGGAAAGCCTAGGGAATTGTTTTTACATTAAATTGAAGCCGTTGGCATTTATTAAGCACCTACTGGTCTGGTGCTAGGCACTAGAGCAGGGGCAATGTTCAGTAGACTTAAGTTGGCTTAATAGTTGTTTTGTGAAAAGGAAGACTTCAGCCCTGCCTGAAAGGTGGCAGCAAGACAGAGATTGGCAGAAGAGAATGAGAGCACGTGGGTAGGAGATTTTTTGAATGGGGCCTTTAAAAGTGGGGAGTCTGATAGGCAGAGAGAAGCAGGGAGGGCCCTGGAGAACACAGGGCAAAGCTTGGAGACAGGAATATGTTTCGCTTCTTCAGGGAGCAGTGAGAAGATCGGGGGAAGAGAGAAGTCAGATCACAAAAAGTCTTGAGTGGTGGAGTTAGACACCAGGGGTCACAGGGCCGGGCTCAGCTGAGAAGTCGCCTCCTCTGACCCCCAGGCAAGGTTGTTTGTACCTGTCCCTTTGTGAGCCCCCCAGAATCCCCCATCTGATTTGCTGCTGCTCAGAGCCTGTCCCTGAGGAACTGCCAGGAGATTTGATATTTGAAAAAGAATCTTGTCTAGCCTCTCTATTGGGCTAGTGAGCTCTAGAGCTCCTGGGCTAGACCGTGGGGGTGGAGGGTCCTTGTCTGTGGTTCTTGTGGGCCTGTGGTTCACTTCTGAAGCCAGGTTAGAGCAAGGGACTGGGGCATCCTGGTCATAGTCAGGGCCTTGGACCCCAAATTCCAGAGAAACCAATCAGTAGATCGAACAGGCAACAAAGCTGAGCTGTAGTCCAGAAAGAAAGGTCAGGGCAGGAGCCTGAAACACAGGAACCCTGTGGGGGCATCCAGCAACACCTTGCTCCAGGCCCCAGCCCACACCAGTGGAATCCATTTTTGAGAGCCTTGGCCAGGCGAGTGCAAAAGGCTCCATTCCAGACGCTGTTCCCAGCTGCTCTGGGGTCTGCAGGGCCTGGCGTGTCTCTGGTTCGGGTTTTCTAACCCAGGAGGGCACTGAGATGGGGCAGCAGGCAGGACGGGAGGGCAGGGAAGGGGCAGCCCCTCAGACTTTGCCTCAGCATTCCTCAGCCCCCCGGGTCCCTGGCTTCAGCTTCTCCAGGGTCCTGCTCACGGTAGACAGGCTGCTGCGGGCTCCTGGGGGAGAGACCAGGGACAAGAACTGCCTCAGTAGACAGGTGCCCATGGAGTTGTCAAGGTCAGAGGAACTCAAAGGGACCCAAGGCGGGGGTGCCCGGTGAACCTAGGCAAAGCTGGGATAGAATGGGGAGAGGGGAACATCCCAGGTGACAGTTTCAGCCCAGTTTAAAGAGGTACCTCCAGTCAGGATGGCTTTCAAGAGGACAGCAGCATGGGCTGGGGGTAGAGGCAGGACCCTGGAGCCCACTGCCTGGTTTGAGCTTCGGCTGCAGAACTTCCTGGCTGTGTGGTCTTGGGAATGTCATTTAATCTCCCTGTGCCTCGGTTACCCCATATGTAAAATGAAACTAATGACAGTACCGCCTTCATGTGGTTGTTGTGAGACTTAAAAGAGTGAATAATAGATGAACATGGCTCAGAGCAGTGTCTGGAATGGGCCCTTTTGCTGAGTATTAGCCATCCTGCCACTGGTGGCAGAGACTGGGCTGGGGCCATCGTTGAGAAACTCCTGCCCTGGAATTTTTCCAGGTGTGGGGTGGAGGAACAAGGAGATGCCCAGTTTGGGGTACGAACTTTAAACTGGGGTGGTTAAAACTAGTACCCAAAGCTGGTATGCATGGGTGCCTCTTTAAACTGGGCTGAAACTGTCCCCTGGCACATCCACCCCTCCCCATTCTATCCCAGCTCTGCCCTGGGCACTGGGCACCCCAGCCTTGGGTCCCTTTGAGCTCCCCTGACCCTGGGGGAGTTGGGAGAGGGGAGTGGGAAAATAAACTGAGGCATGGGACCTGGGGGAGGGGGAGGGGAGGGAGGGGAAGAAGCAGGGAGGTGCCCTCATCCCAGTGTCCATGCTGGGCAAGACAGAAGCCCTCAGGATAAGCAAGAGAAGATCAGTTCAGCTTGGAGCAGCAAGGGTCTGACTGCGCACATGGGGAAACTGCCAGCAGTACCATCCCCCTGCACTGAGGAAGCCCCTTCAGGATGCCGCTCAAGGCTCCCAGGCCCCACAGAGCTGCTCAGTCAGGGAGGGGAGATGAAAGACAGACTTAGGCTGGGCGCGGTTGCTCACGCCTGTAATCCCAGCACTTTAGGAGGCTGAGGCGGGTGGATCACCTGAGGTCGGGAGTTCAAGACCAGCCTGACCAACATGGAGAAACCCCGTCTCTACTACAAATACAAAAATTAGCCAGGTGTGGTGGCGCATGCCTATAATCCCAGCTACTTGGGAGGCTGAGGCAAGAGAATCGCTTGAACCCGGGAGGCAGAGGTTACAGTGAGCCGAGATTGTGACATTGCACGCCAGCCTGGGCAACAAGAGCAAAACTCTGTCTCAAAAAAGAAAGATGGACTTGGGAATTTCTGAAACTTACCTTCCTTGTTGCCATTGGTGCTGGATCTTCCTTCTCCATGGTCTGGCCCTGGATGGGGATGGATTCTTAGGCTTCCTGCAGGATGAGAACACCCCAAGCCCTCCCTGGTTACTGAGCCATTCCCCAAATCAAGCCCAGGTTGGGAAGGGAAGTCCTTCTTGCTGTCTAGTTTCCATCCCTGATGCTGTCTTTGCTCCACTGCATTCCTTTAGGTCTCACATGATCTGGGCTGATTTGGGCAGGAGAAAAAGAACTGGGCCCTTGAAGGAGAAAATGGCAGATCTTTTAGGGAAGTGAGGTCCTGGGGAGAACTGGGGCCATGGAAAGCCCCATAGGATTGGTGGAGATGGCAGCCTGTATTTGGGGAGCTGAAATGAGGTGGGAGCTATGCAGAAGCCATGGGGTCTTAGGGGAAATAGAGGATCTTTCATGGGGGCTCAGGGATGAAGAGGGAGTTATTTAGAGATGTTGGACGCTTTGGGGAGTCATAAAATCTCTCAAGGGAGATGGACTTCCCGGCTCTGAGCTGGTTCAGGCACCTTTGTTGCAGGCACCGGGCTGGATTCTGCTGTGCTGTAGTCATGGCAACGCCTGCACAACACACACACACACACACAGCAGCTCTAACACAGACAACTAGAGCGGTCTCATATATGGGCTCAGCCCAGCCGCACAGCGGATCACAGACGAACACACAAAGGGTCTGGAACAGTCCTTGGCAGAGGGGTCTGCTGGGGTGAGGGAGAGGCCTCACCTATGGTAGGCAGGATGTGGTCCAGGTTGAACCGAGCCTTCAGGAAGGGGTAGGCCAAGATGAGGAACCCTGAGAAGAGACACAGGGGGTTCTGTGATGGGGAGGGTCTGGTGAATGTTGAGGCTGTGGGTGGGCTGGGAGCCTGAGGGGTGGTTTGTGAGATATGGGTGTGCACGGGAGGAGCACAGTGTGCAGAGTTGGGACTGTGAGTGTGTAAATGTGAGCCCGTGGGTGTGTCCATCTGGATTGTGGGGGGCAGTGCCTGTCTGGGGAAGGGGCTACAGTCTGTGAAGGCCCCAGCTGCCTGGCTCCACTGTGCCTAGGTGAAGAGCAGGTTGCTGGAATGAGCCTGGCTGACAGCACCGCTGCCTCTCTGCCGTCCCCATGCTCCCCCAGGGCCCCCAGGGCCAGACTGGGCGCTTGTCCTCAGCATGCTGCTCTCTACCCAGACCTGGGGAGCAGGAGCAGCAGAGCCAGTCCTGCCTTGCCTGCCCCGACTCCATCCCCCGATGAGCATCTGTGCCAGAACCTGCAGGTGTAGACACCCAAAGTCCCCTAGCCTGGTGCTTCTGGTCCTGCTTTTGGCCTGGGAGGGAGGGGTGGGGTAAGGGATGGCATTCAGCGTCACTGAGGGGCCATCAGTGTGCCTCGCCCACACAGACAGATAGATGGACACAGCTGCTGTGGAGGCAAACAGGGAAAGAAGAGGAAACCCTTTTTCTGAGCTGGAGCCTGTCTTGGCTCAGAGTCCTCAGGAGCTCTGTCCTTTTACCTGCCGCCATCAACCCCCTGTTCTGCCCAGATAGGCTGATGAATCCCACCACAAATCCAAGAGCCTAGAACTTGGGGCTGGAGAGCCAGTGGGAGCAGCCAGAAAGGAGTGTGACAGCCAGCTCCCCTTCTTGTCTCCTCCCCGTGGCTGGAAGGAGCCCCAGCGCATCCCTCCTCTCCCACCTGTGCCCCTGATGGCGGTCTTGCTCACACCTCTAGCTTCCATTCTCCCCAACTGATTCCTGCTGACCCAGCCCTTCCCTGTTCCTTGTTTACCTGACCATGCCCCTGCCCCCACCTCCAGAATCTCCCCTCCCTATCCCAACCCAGCCCCTGCTCACCCAGAACAGCAGCGCCGATAAAGACACCGCCCATGGCAGCTGCAGCCTTGGATACGGAGATGCCGATGATGACGCTGCCAGCCACCAGCCCGAGAGCCACACAGGCCAGCTGCAGGCAGTGGAAATCTCTGCTGCTGATGGGGATGTCCATGCAGGCCCACAGGGGCCTCCGGCCTCCGGCCGCCTCCGGCCGGTGCAGTCTGGACCCAGAAAAATCCTGGAAGTTTCTGGGCTCTTGGATGTCCCCTTGTTGGCGCTCCAACTTCAGGGTGGGAGTTTCTGGGCAGTAAGATTATGGGCGGGGAACCCTGGGATTTATCTGAAGTCCTATCCCACTGCTCCACTAGGGGCCCCCCAGTCCCACCTTGACCAGGGATCTGTACCAGGTCACCCAGCTTACTCTTCCTCTCTTAAAGCCCTCTGAAGCTGAAGCCCACCCTTGGGACTCCTGTCTGGCTACATTTCTGCTTTGGCTGCCAGAGTTCTAGGGAGCTGGGCCTGCTCCATAGGATCCTTCCCTGCCAGCTTCCACCCAGGAGAGTTCAAGCTCCCCTGCCCAGGACATCCTGCCCCATCTTCCTAGAGCCACTCACTTGCCACTGGGCCTCAGCCTATGAAAATTTAAAGCAATGAGAGGCGGGGTGAAGGGGGAGTTGGTCCAGGGGCCACAGGCTCCTCAGAGATGTAGGCAGCAGGGAGGTGCTGAGTTATTCATGAGGTTGCAATGTGAGCGGCTGTCTGGGTCCCGGGGCCCAGCAGGCAGTCAGCCCAGGTTCCACTGCTGGTTCCTGAGGGAGAAGAATGAGCTGGTGGCTTTGCATGTCATTCAGAAGCCAGGGATGTGAGGAGACTCCTGGTCACATACTCAGGGCCCACTCTGCTGTGCTCTGCCCTTTGGCCTGGAGGTGCACCTGGGGTCTCTGCTTGGAGTCTGAGATAGACACACGGCAGGAGGCTCAAGAGACAGGAACTGCACCTGGGACAGAAAGTAGGCAGGGAGAGGCATCTCTCCAAGTCTGCTCCCTACCCCTGCCCATCACATCCCTATCCTGTTCACCTCTGGGCTCCCAGGCAGGGCTGAGGGCATTCTAGTTTGAAGCTTGATCTCACGGGACTTCCTTGTCCTCAGGTGTGGGCTTGGTACCCACCCCCCTTTTAGTGGCCAGTGGAATGGAGGGTGAACCCTTCTAGCCACCTTGGGGATCCCTGACTGGGAGTGACAGGGAAGAGCAGTGGTGGCACTGGTGTGGGCAGGAGGAAAACACCTAAGGGGTAGGGTAGGGAAGAGAACTTGGTAGGGGCTGGGTCATGGTTGGTGCCTTCCCACCCGCTGAACTGAGCATCTGCACCCAGCCCATCTGAGCTACTTGCAGGATCCCCCAACCCAAGGCTGGGCAGTGGTCACCAACCCAGCCCAGCCCTGAGCCCTGCCCCAGCCCCTAATTCCAGCCTTCATCATTCATTGCATTATTTGACTCTTTATGGATCGGGGCCTTCCCAATCCCAGAATATGCCCCGGTCTGGCCCTGCACCTGGGCACAATTCCTAGGGTCCCATAATCCTGCTCAGAGTCCCGTCGCCAGCCTCCCTGGCGTCTCTTTGGATGCCCCCTCTCTGCACCGCATATGCAGTCTCATGTCACCAGGCTCAACTTCTCGTCCCTCCACCTGCCTCCATGGCTGCCCTGTTCTTGTTCTATCTCTTCTGTAGACTGACAGCCCCTTGAGGGCAGGTTCCAGGAGTGAGCTCCCCAGAATGCTGTGGCTGGGAGGGAGCTGAGCTAGTCTTCTGGACACAAGGACAGAGTTCAGGGAGAGGCCTTGGACTGCACGACCACCTCCAGTCATCAAACAGGAGGGCTGTGGACACATGGGAACCTCTGTCTCTAGCAAGAGGCATTCCTTGTATGTGGAGAAGGGGGCCTGAGAAGGCCCAGGGTCACCTAAGCGGAGCTTCAGCTCACCATGAGTCTGTAGAGAGGGGTGACTGCAGCACAAAGATGGGCCTGGACTGTGTTCCTGGCCCCCACAGAGGGAAAGCCCCTGGAGCTGGGCACTCCCCAGCCACAGAGCTGCTGCCAGCATCCGCTGTGCCTCCTGCCTGGATGAGATCTGATTATTCCTCTAATTGGCATCAAATCATAGCCCATGTCTCTGTCACACATAATTGATCCCCCACTGACTTAGTTTTAGAAGGAGCCTCCAAAATAATTGTCCATGAAACGTGTTTCTGGCTCCTTTCAAAGTCTAAGGCTGAGGGCGACTCTCTCACACCCTCACCAAGACAGAAGCTCCTGGGGCCGTGTTTTCTACCTTGCACTATGGGGCTCGGGCCAGCCATTCCACTTCCCCGAGCCCACTGCCTTGTCTGGTGATGGGGACGGGGGTGGCAGAGGCACCTGTGCACTGCTTCAGATCTCAGAAAACACTCTGACCTCAAAGGAGAGGCACGTTGAGCCTTTATCAGTTCCAAGATCACAGAACCAGGGCCGTCCCAGCTCTTTATAAAACAGGTGGGGAATCTAAGACATGGGGAGACAGGAGAATTGCCCCAGAGTCCTCATGGATCCTGCCCCGCTGGGAAGTACTCTGGCCTATCTGCCCCTGAATTTCAACACTGTTTTAGTTGAGGTGGGAGGAATTGGCAGCCCCACCTTCAGAGGGAGACATTGTGTTAAAAAATTAGCCAAGGGACCAGGCATGGTGGGGTTACAATCCCAGCACTTTGGGAGGCTGAGGCAGGGGATTGCTTGAGGCCAGGAGTGTAAGACCAACCTGGGCAACATGGCAAAACCCTGTCTCTACAAAAACAAAAATTATCCGGGCACAGTGGTGCATGCTTGTAGTCCCAGCTACTTGGGAGGCTGAGGTGGGAGGATCGATTGAGCCCAAGGAGGCTCAAGGCTGAGGTGGCAGGATCGCTTGAGGAGGAAGTTGCAGTGAGTCGAGATCACACCACTGCACTCCAGCCTGGGCGATGGGTGTGAAATCCAGTCTCAAAACAAGCAAACAGAAAACAAAACAAAACAAAACAAAAACAACAAAAATCAGTCAAGGCCTGCCTCTTTCCCTCAGGACCAGGAGTGTGTCATTGAAGGCTTCCAAAACAGTTGTGATGTAGAGAGGGAGGCCTGCCAATTCTTCCCTCAATTTGGGCTCTGAAAAAGTAAAGGTAAGTGTGTCCTTGAGTGATGTGCTCACAGCAATAGGTAAATGAGTTCAGGAACCTCTCTGTGAGTCATGCTGAGAGGGAGGCCCAAGGCACCAGGGCTCCATCTCCCCATCAACCCTCCACCCCTCCCAAGCATCGAAGCCTCCCCGCTGAACCTGGGTGCTCTTGGAGGCCACAGTTCTCAGGCATGGCAAGGCCACGGGCACACTGCTGAATTCCATCACCCAGTCTCTTCTCTCTGTCTCCTGCTGAGGCAAGGGCTGGAGAGCGTCTGCCCATGCTCCTTCCTTCTCAGTGCACCAAGTCCAAGTGTGGCGTGGGGGTGGGGAGGAACAGTGGGCGAAAAGGCCCCAGTCTGGTTTGGTTCTGTTTATTTTCCTTGAGGGGTGAGAACCCTGGAAAAGAGCATGATTAATTCACCAGTACCCCAGAGGACGGGTAGCTTTCTTGGACCATTTGGAAGCTGAAGTCAGGGAAGCGGCTTCCAAGGCAACGGCTACCATGGCAACAAGAGTGCCAGCCTTGGGGGGACCTTGCTCCTCAGCCCCCTCCAGACCTGAAGCAGCTGGAGTGCTGGCATGGGACCAAGGCACCACTGTTCATGGAGCTGGGTCTGGGAGGGGCAGTCGGCCAGGAGGGAGGAGGGGCCCCCAGAGCCCAGGCAGGTAGACATACAGAGGGACAAAGACTGGACGGTCCCTGTGCCCAGAGGCCCTCAGACAGGAGTCCTCAGGGTCCAGCTGAATCAGGGCTGGGGCTGGAGCCAAGGCCTGATCATTAGGTTTTAGAAGAGAAGTCTGAGGCTTGAGACGCTCCAACTGGCTGGGACCAGCTCTCTCCTTCTAGGCCCCGCCCACGCGAGAGCTCTGGAGCTGGGGAGCTGCCTTCCATCATCGCAGGTCCCATGCCTGGAAGGGGCTCTGCGGTCTCAGAGCCTCCTCAGTGCGTCTGCTGGATCTGCCTCTGTCCAGCAGAGCCAGAACTTCCAAGGTCACCAGTGAATAGTGGCAGTACTGGAACCCAGGGCTCTGGTCCCCACTTTAGGCTCTTCCCCTTGTGCCACAGCTGCCCCTCTGGGCTAGGGACTGCATCCTGGAGGGACGGAGCAGCCTGTCCGCAGGAGGATCCCACAGAGGGACAGAGGCCTGGCTCATCTGAAGAGGCCTAGATCTATCTCCACAGCACACAGTGCTTCTGTAGAGTGCTCCCAGAGCCAAGGACCAGGGAGGGCTCGTCTCCCGCACTGGGACTGTGAGTTGTGTAATTCTGCCCTGGCAGACAACAGTAAATACAGGAGTCCCCCATTATCCCTAGGGGACACGTTCTAAGACCCTTGGTGGATGTCTCAAACCATGGACAGTACCAAACTCTATATATTATGATTTTTCCTATACATACATATCTGTGATAAAGCTTAATTTCTAAATTAAGTACAGTAAGAGATGAACAAAATAGAATAATTGTAATAATATATTGTAATAAAAGTTATATGGATGTGGTCTCTCTCTCAAAATATCCTATTGTGTTGTACTCATCTATTTTGACCACAGGTAACTGAAATTATGGAATTAAGCGAAACTGTGGATCAATGGGGACTACTCGATTAGCTAAAACTATAATAGCTAACATTTATGGAGCACTTACTATGTGGGCCTGGAACTGCTCTCAATGCTTCACATTTATTAATTTGTAACTTTCACAACAGTTCCATGAAGTAAGCACTATCATCCCCATTTATAGTTGAAGAAACTCTCAGAGATGAAGTAACTGGCCCAAGCCCCAGAGCTAGTAAGTGGCAGAGCAGGGATTTGAATGCAGGCAGCACAGCGCTGGGTCCCAAGCCTTCCTGGAGGGAATTCCAGTTCCACCATTCCTAGCTGTATAGCCCTGGGCAAGCTATTTTTCCTTTCTCTGCTTGGTTTTTCATGTCAAGTGGGATAAAATAATAGTACCTACCTCATAGGACTGCTGAGAATTAAATGCTAATGCCCGTAAACTTCTTAGAAAGTACCTGTTACTTAGTAAGTGGACGACAATGCTGGCAAAACCAAGGTCAGCCAAAACCAAGGTCATGGCATTTAAGCAGAGCCATGCAGGATGAGAGGGGCCTTGCCAGGTGGGCCAGGCTGGGGAGGTGGGCTGGGACAGGGCACAGCTTGAGCCAAGGCACAAAGGCCTGAGAGTCTGGGGGATTTGCAGCTGGGCAGGGTGTGTGCCAGGGGTGGAGAGTGCTTGACCTAGGAAGCCCCCTTGAAGTCACATTCCTGTTGGGCCTCCCACTAGGCCGGGCTGGAGTTCAGGGATAGAACTCGTATCCTGGTTCTGGGTCTCCAGGGGCTGGGAGTCTGTGGGCCAAAAGCGTCAGATTTTGCAGGTCTGTTTTCCTCACCAAGCCCACTCCAGGTAGATGAAAAAGGGATGTGAGGGTGTCAGGGTTACTGTCAAGGGAAGACTGTCAACAAACAGTATGTATTGTCAACGGGGAGGCATTCATGGCACAGGACAGCTGGGAGCCTGGCCCGTCACCTGTCCCAAGTGAAGAGCCCTAATCCCATCTCCCCTCTCTGCCCTCCCGAGGGAAAGCAGCTGTCACCAGCACCCAGGCCACCGCCCAGACTCTCAGACCTCCCTTGCCACCTCCTTGGGAACTTATAAAGGTCCTTTCCACCCCAGTCCTCTCCTGTCCGGCTCTGAGGATCGCCTGGGACAATGGACAACAAGGTCCTCTGCATGATGTACATGAGGGCTGTGGATGGGAGGCGCCATTTTTCTTTGTTGCATAGTCCTGGGTACATGACACCCCCTTGATAAAGGCTTAGTAATGCTTTAGACAGAGGGGAAATCTGTTTCCTGCTTATGGGCTGCTGGGCACAGAGGACATCTATCAAAGTACATTCTGAAGTCTCCTGTGTCATGGTCGCTAACACCACCTCTACCACTTGATGGGGAGCTCCTAGAAAGCAGAGGCTGTTTCTTACTCATTTCTGGGTCCTGGCACAGAAGAAGCAATTGATAAATGTTTGATGAATTTCATTTCCTCACCTAGGAAAAAAAAAAGCAATTTCTCCTTCACCTTGTTTTTTTGGGTCCAATGTGGTTTTTATTCAGGGGTCCTGGTAAGAGATACCTTCTCCCCACCTGGCTGGACTTAGCCCCAGTTTAGAAGGCCAGTCTCCTTCTCAGGTCTGCAGGTAAAAAAAGGACCCCCAAATAGGCCACAGCTAGAATTTCAGTTTTATTAAAATAAGCACAATGTATAAAAGTACCATGGTGTTGTATAAACGTCTGCCTGACAAACGCAAATCTATTTTCTTTATGTACCTCAACAGTTCAGCTTATCTGAATGGCTGTACCTTCACGAACTCGGGCAGCAGGCACTGCGTCGCTCGAACAGGGCAGTGAGGCTTCACCCCAGTGTGGCTTCACCTCAGGCACAGAGCTCCATCTAACTGCCCAGATCTGTGCCACCCACACAAGACCTGGGGACACAGCAGCAGACACCGACGCTGTCTCTAAGCTTGTCATAGGAACAGCTTAAAATCAGTTAGAATAGGGCACTGCTGATTAAAACCCAAATGCATGGACATTCCAGAAAGAGCAAGCCGTTACACTCCGGGAAGTTCATGGGCTTGCAGTGGGAGATGAAGGTCCCATCTTTGCTGGAACAGCATGGTTAAAAAAAAACCAAACTTTTTTTTTTAAAAAAACAAAATACAACTGACTTTAGCAGCAATCACAATCAAAGGGGATGATAAATGAGGGACACATTTCAGTCACGGCAAAGAAAGATTATGTGCTTCTCCGTGCTGCAGACCGGAAGACTGATCTGATTTCCTGAATGAGGAAGGCTCCTTGCCCTTCCCTGAATTGAGGGGATGGCTTTGCTCAGCCAAGGGAGAAGACGGGCAAAGAGGACATCCGGAGGACAGAGGAAGGTGGAAGGACCGCCAGAGGAGGGTGACAGAGCTGAGAGGGAAGAGGCACGTGTCGGCAGCCTCTGTCAACTGATGCTTCTTGCTTCTCCCTGCAGGCTGCAGCCGCAGCCGCCGCTACAGCGGTGAGAGCAGGCCGGATCCCAGATCTGCAGGCGGAGAGCAGGTGGAGCCCAGCGAAGAGCTGTTCCTGCTGCAGGCAATTATGCAAAGTGACAAGTGATTGCTTTCCTTTCAAAGACAACCCCTTTGGAAAAAGCTTTTTCCTCCAGGACCCTAGGGAAATGGGGGTTGGTGGGAACTTTAGGGCCTTCTAGATGAAAAAGCCTGAGTGAAGCCACAGAGCAGACGCTGTCACCTGCTCAGCAGACTTTAGCCACACAGGTTTCCAGGGGGACAACGCCTGGCCAGGCCTAGGGTCTATAAGGTGTGACTGGAGCATTTCAGAGTGCTGTGGGCGGGCTCCTGTCTTCACCACGGCCTGCCTGGGCCTGGGCCCGCCTCCGGGCCAGGCGTGACTTGCAGGGAGGGGAAAGCTTCATGGAGCAGAGGCCATCGGCCAGCGCCTCTGGCTCCTCCGCTAGTTCATTCTCTTCGTGCTGAGATAGCTGGCGGTTAAGGGCGATGGCCTCAGCTGCGAAGAGCGTCAGGTCCATTGTGCTGCTGTTCCTGCAGGGCCGGGGCAAAGCGCAGAAAAGAGGATCAGGACTCTGGGGTCAGCCAGGCCAGCTCCGGGACACTCCCACTCGCTGCTGTGGCGCTGCACTCCCACCAGATTTCCCAGAGCCGGGATGGGCTGCTCTCTCCAAAGTAGTTCTTGCCTAGGTTTGGAATCTGGCTTGACTGAGGGATTGTAATTTGAGCCCCAAGTACCATCCCTGGACTTGATGGTAAGGGCAAGCTCCCCCTACTCCTCAGGGCACCCTCCTCTGAGCTCCCACAACGCTACATACAGGTCTACCAGAGGCAGAGACAGGGCACATTAAACGCACCTGTCCCTCCCTCTCCCGGCCTGGGTGGGGAAAAAGCTCCCCGAGCAAGGCCTGCGCCGCTTATGTCACGTCCCCAGCACCTAGCTCAGGACTAGCAGGGACAGGCACTTCGGGTTTGCAGAATAAATCTTCTAAGGTGGATCTGAGGTTTGGCACCTAAAGGCATCTGGAGGCTGCTCTAGAGAGTCAGGTAGGAACTCAAATTGGGCAATAGCAACTGGGTCACACGAATTGAGATTATGGAGGTGTACGACTTCCTTGTGTAGCTCCTAAAAGCTGGCCATGAGGCTGGTGCCAAAACGGTTTCCCACACTGCTTAGCCCTGGCTCTTTGGGAACAGGGCAATCCAGCTGTGAAAGGGCTCCAGAGTCAAACAGCCCAGGGCTGCTGTGTGGCCTTAAGCAAGTTAACTTGATTGCCACTCCTCACCTCTCTCATCCGGAACACCTCTCTTAAATTCATCGTGAAGATTATGGATATAATTGTATCCAGCCCTTAGCACCACATCTGACATGTGGTAAGGACTTATTATTTTTTTGAGACGGATTCTTGCTCTGTTGCCCAGGCTGGAGTGCAGTGGTGTGATCGTGGCTCACTGCGACCTCCGCCTCCTGGGTTCAAGCGATTCTCCTGCCTCAGCCTCCCAAGTAGGTGGCATTACAGGCACCTGCCACCATGCCTGGCCACGGTAAGGACTTAATCCTGGTGGCCACTATTATCACCGTTCGTCTAGTACTGTACGTGCCCCTCACTCCTGCTCCTTTCACCACATGCAAGGGCAGAGGGAAGCTGCATGTGAATAACCCACGGGTAAGGTCTGTCTTTGGGCTGTAAGTTACATTCAATGGGAAAAACAGATTTTTTTCTTTTTTCTCCTGCCAACAGTGCTAGGAGGGGCCTTTAAGGTGGTGGAGGGCAGAGGAAGCAATCTAGGTGAAGGCAGGGAAGGGTGGGAGATAGATCCAGAGTAGAGGAGAAGAGAGTGAGGAGGGGAAATGGGCAGGGAGCCCCTTTGGAGAAGGCTACTTGAGCCTAGAGATGGGCTCCCCGGGCCCCACCTCCACCCCCATGGTGGCGGAGAGCTTGAGGAAGAGCAGGGCGTGGGGGTGGTCAGAGCATTTACCTCTGGAGGACTTGCGGCGTAGGGAGTCCCTTTTCTGGAGCTTGCTAGAATGGGAAGGACAGATGTGTAGGTAAAGCACTGCTCCCTCCTTCCAAGAGCTGCCCCGCCCAAGCCAGCAGTGGGGAGGTGACTCTAGGCTGCTGGCCCGGCACAGGGACTCGGCTCTGCTTGCTTGCAGGGTCAGGCCTTCCAAGCAGAGCAAGGAAGGTACAATCTGCAGGCGCAGCCCCCACACAGCTGCTTCTGCATGGAAAGCCCCTCTTTCCCTTTGCCTGGCAAAGTCCTAACCACCCCCAAGATCCAGCTCAAGGGTCACTTCACCTGTGACGCACATTTCCCCTTCCCTGCCACCTTCCTGCCTCAGTCTCAGGCCCGGGGTGGGGAGTGGGGTCCTGCTCCCTTTGTGCCCCTAGCGCTGTTTAGAAGCCTTTATTACGCTGTAACTTATCCCCTTGTTTATTCTCTCCACTAGAGCGTCGACACAGGGACTGGGAATCACTTGTCCCTCTGTCATGTGGTAGATGCTCACTTATGGGTCTGGGAATGAGCCACTTAGACACTCCAACTGGGTCCCCGACTGTAACACAGGCTGCCAATGCTTGCCTCCTTCCACTGGTAGGGTAGCTGAGGCTGGCCAGGGCCTGGCACACCAAGGAGACCAGTAAGTCATGGGAGCATCTGGCAGACCCCTTGGAGGGCAGAGGTCAGGTATTGTGAGTAGCCAAGGAGGATTCTAAAAAATGTTTTCTAGTGAAAACATGAATTCTAAGCTTAGGGAAAAAATACCATCATTTGCCTTTCAGGCCAGCTGTACCCAGACTCCCAGACCATGAGGAGAACCTATGTGCCCCAACTCGGCCACACACCAATCAGCGCAGCAAGGCCTTGCTCGCTTCTGGGTGCTCTCAGCTAATGATGCTTCTATATAAGGGGAGGATGCTACAGACTTCAAATGACAACAGGATGCTTGCAGGTAACAAATCCCCAGAGGACTCTGTTGGGGCTCAGTCTGTGGCCAAGGTTAGAGCCAAGTCTACGGCCTATAAGGGGCTCAGTCTGGGGTAACAGGAGGAGTTGATTCGCTCTACACACACAGGGGTAGACGCTGTCCTCTTCAGCTGTACCACCCACAAGGCTGGTGCTCAGCACTCGCTGGCATGACAGCTTCCTTGTGGCCATGCCACAGCCTGGAACGGTGGAAAACACCCCTCCCAGAGTCACTCACCCCCTGCACCCATGGGTGCTGCAGAACTTGGGCGGCGCTAAGTCTCTGCTTCGCATCTCGCACCAGGAGCTTGGAGATGAGGTCTTTGGCCTCACTGGAGATGTGTGCCCAGTCCTTGTCAGGAAACTCATACTTGCCTTCCTGGATGCTTTCAAACAGCTTGTTCTAGGTACAAAAGATTCCTCCTGAGGCCACACTGCCAGGGATGGGCAGGATGTGCCTGTCATTGTTTTGATCAACCAGCTTCAGTTGAGCTCAGCTGTAGCTGCAGCTCATGGCTTGGGGATGCCACAGACTGGGGCCTCTTCCCAGACTCACCCCGCACTATCCCCTAGATGAGCAAACTATACAGAATGCCCTTGGCAGGCCAGGATGGCTATACCCTTGGTGGGCTGGACGGGTGATGAGTGGGGATCGCCCACAAAACAAAGCCCAAATTCCTTGACTCTTCCTAGAGGACTGTCTGTGAACCTCTCAGGCCTCATCTCCCACTACCACCAACCTACTACTCCACTTTTCCTTCCTAGACACTCCAGCTATTTCATGTGTCCACGTCTGTGCCTGTGCTGTTCCTTCTACTTGTGATTCCTGTCCCTCTTCCCCAGGGCAGGATGCACCCTTTAAGAGTCAGTTCAGGGCCGGGCGTGGTGGCTCACGCCTGTAATGCCAGCACTTTGGGAGGCGGATCACAAGGTCAGGAGATTGAGACCATCCTGGCTAACACAGCGAAACCCTGTCTCTACCGAAAATACCAAAAATTAGCCAGATGTGGTGGCGGACACCTGTAGTCCCAGCTACTCAGGAGGCTGAGACAGGAGAATCGCTTGAACCCAGGAGGCAGAGGTTGCAGTGAGTCAAGATCGTGCCATTGCACCCCAGCCTGGGCGACAGAGTGAGACTCTGTCTCAGAGAAAAAAAAAAAAAAAGAGTCAGTTCAGGCATGATCTTCTCTAACAATCCTGCCCTGAGCTCCCAGCTGGGCAGAGTGTCTGATTATCTCTATTTTACCTCGTGGCCACCCTGACAAGACGGGGAGAGGGCACTATGAGCCCCCATCCTGATCAGGAACGCTCTCCCAGCCCAGTCCTGCTTGGCATCCCCCAACCACACTGACCCCAAGCAGGGTCTACGCAGTGCTTCCTGGGGCCGCACTCACCTGGCACACCCTGCAGACCTCGCCCCGATCCCAGCCACAGTCGGCCCCGCAGTGGCCCACGAAGGGTGGGTAGCCGCTCAGCATGATGTAGAGGACCACGCCCAGGCTCCACAGGTCGCAGCGCTTGTCGTAGAATGTGGCCTGGTCCGTGAAGACCTCCACCACCTCAGGGGCCATGTATTCTGCTGAGCCACACTGTGGGGGCCAGGGTTGGGGGAGAGGGAGATGGCAGAGAACAGAGAGGCTTAGTTACAGCAGAGGGGATGGCAGAGAGCAGACTGTGATGGGACTGGAGCAGGAGGCTGGAAGGATGGGAGACAGAGCAGGAAGTCATCAGGAAGGCCAGCCAGTGAGCCGCCTGATGCCACCAAGGCACCTGCAGACTGAGCCCCATCATTCCCCAGTATCCAGAGGAGCAGTTCAGGTCACCTTATCCTTCCAGCTCCTCCTCCAGTAGGCAAAGACCCTTGGCCAAGAAGTTCCAGGAATCTCTCTCTGCCTCAGCTTCCTATAAACAGATATTTCATGTACAGGTACTTAAATGCACCAAGAATATGGCTCTGGGAGGGAGATCCAGTTCCACACAGCATGATTTCTTAAAGTGAATCCTGTCAAGCTCCCCTGCTAGCTCAGAGCAGGAAGTGTAAGAATTTAGAATTAAGAGACCATCAAAGTTAGAAAAGCTCTTAGAACAAATCCAACCTTCCCACCCCTCCCATTTATAGATGGCAAAGGCGAGGCCGAGAACAGGACAGGGATTTGTTTGAGCACATCAATGGCACACCTAGGACCAGAGTCCAATATTCCTTTCTCTCACCCTTGTGTAGAAAACGGCTGATAGGAATCAAACACATTCTTTTTGCTCCACTCTTCACTATTTCAGGCTCACCAAGAAAGAACCACCTCCCCGCTCCACATACCCTGCAAAACTAATTTGACTGAAAGACGGTAAGTGTTCTCAAGAAAGGATATTTTCTTTGTTATTGGCATTTAGAGTTAATGACTTTGAAAACAAGGTAGCCCGGTGTGTTAGAAACTAATAAAGATTCCTGATAATGTTGTTTAGCATAAGATACAACACAGGCATATTAAGGGCATGTCTTAAAAGGGTTATTAGGAAAATTTACTTGTGAAGCATACAAATCTCAAAAGAATCAGAATTATACTCTATTAGTTGTACAAGAGATGTCTTGGGAAGAAGTAGCTCCAAGCAGCACCATCTGGTCATGAAATGTGAAATCAGAGAAGCAAACAGGCTAACTTGGCCAAGCGATCCCACGTGCATATAGACTGAGACCTCACAGTTCCCACCACAGAGAGACTATCCTGTCCAGTCAGGGAGGACTGCTCCCCATCCCCCATCACAAGGGGGCTGCGCTGTGCCTTCAGCAGTGGGAATGGGGCTTACAGAACTACCAAATGCTCATAGGCAAAAGGGCTGGCCTGGGAGTAGGGTCTGTCTTCACCTGGGTCAGGAGTCAGGGTTCAGCCTGTGCTTTTTTTTTTTTTTTGAGACGGAGTTTCGCTCTTGTTGCCCAGGCTGGAGTGCAATGGTGTGATCTCGGCTCACCGCAACCTCTGCCCCTCGGGTTCAAGCGATTCTCCTGCCTCAGTTGCCCAAGTAGCTGGGATTATAGGTATACACTACCACGCCTGGCTAATTTTGCATTTTTAGTAGAAACGGGGTTTCTCCATGTTGGTCAGGCTGGTCTCAAACTCCCGACCTCAGGTGATCCACCCACCTCAGCCTCCCAAAGTGCTAGGATTACAGGCATGAGCCACTGCAAACGGCCAGCCTGTGCTTATAGATATAATTTGTCTCTTCATCAGCAGAGAGGACTCACCCCAAACTAACAGTCCAAGTGTCAGTTTCATTAGCAACTAAGGGGTCAGGGGAGGCTTGAGAGCCACGAACACAGAGCAGTAAGCAAAATGACCGCTCAGGCAGCAGGAAGATAGGTCCAGTTGGTTTGCCATCCTTAACCCTCTGTTCTGGACCTCCCAGCTCTGGGTCAGGGAAACACTCCAAATACTTAGGAGCCCAGAGGAAGCATACATACTGGCGTGGTCAGCTCCGGTGTGGTTATGGGGGTGCAGGAGTTGTTCAGTTTCACCCCACTGCCTAAGTCAAAGTCACAGATTTTCACTGGAGACACCTGAAAAGGAAAACAGAAGCCAGCATCACAGACATAAGAAACTACAGGGCAAGAGGAGCCAGGCATGGCTGTATGGGTGCATGGCTGAGTGGCTGTCACGCCGCAGCTGGTTTTATTAGGTCATGTTTGCTCTCCGGAGGTTAACAAGAAGTCCCCTGAGGATTTCTTCCCAAGTGTCTTATTCCCTGTGCTCTCTTATTTCCCAACTAAGGGAAAAATGGGTGGACTATTTGGTGTCGGATTATTGTGAACTCAGACCAAAGAAAGAATGGAACTCTTGCTGGCAAATGATGGTACAGGTTGCAGCACAGCAGCTAGGGAAGTTACTATGTACTCCTGAGAGACAGACTTCTTGCAGCCCATTCAGTGGAGTGCAAAGGAGCTTGCAGTAAAACCCCTGACCGCCTCAGGTCGCTTAGGGTGACCAACTTGTCTGAGGTGGCTTGCTTGGGACTTGATCAGTTTAAACACAGAAAGTCCCATGTTCCAGGAAACCCCTCAAACCTGGGAAAACTGGGATGGTTGGTCACTGTAGATGGCATCAACACAGTAACCAAGTCCACCAGAACTGGATGCTGCGCCTGAGACCACAGACAGGTGCCTCATCTCTGGAGCCAACCAGGAGGGCAGTTTGGGTGCACACATGAGAATGGATGAGAATGGCCTACATGGTGTGTAAGCAGCACAGCCAGTGAACTAAATGCTTGTTCTCTGAGACCCATGTCCTCGCCGGGAAGCCTGGGCAAGTCCCTCGACTTCTTTCTCTCCTTCCTTCCTCCCTCCCCTGTTCTCTATTTTTCTTCTTTTCTTTTTCATTTAGCCTCTTTCTCATTAGTGGTAAAATATAAAGCATAAAATATGAGATTTTAGCCATTTTTAAGTAGACAGTTTAGTGGCATTAACTACGTACATTCACACAGTTGTGCAACCATCACCACGATCTGTTGCTAAAACTTTTCCATCACTCCAAACAGAAACTCTATACGCATTAAGCCATAACTCCCATTCTTTCTTCCCCTAGCCCTAGGTAACTTCCAATCTGACTTTATTAATTAATAAAGACTTTCTGTCTTTATTAATTTGCCAATTCAAGGTATTTCATATAAGTAGATTTACACAATATTTGTCCTTTTATGTTTGGCTTATTTCACTTAGCATAATGTTTTCGAGGTTCATTCATGTATCAAAACCTCATTCCATTTTATGGCTGACTAGTATTCCATTGAATGTATGTACCACATTTTGTTTATCTGTTCAGCTGCTGATGACCACTTGAGTTGTTTCTACCTTTTGGCTGTTGTGAATAATACTGTAATGAATACTGGTATACAAGTATCTGTTTTCAATTGTTTTGGGTAATACCTAGGAGTGGAATTGCTGGGTCATATGGTAATTCTGTGTTTAGTCTTTGAGGAACCGCCAAACTTTTCCACAGAAGTTGCACCATTATATAATCTCACCAGCAATGTATAAGGGTTACAATTTTTCCATATCCTCAACAACACTTACTATTTTCCATTTTTTAAATTACAGCCTACCTAGTAGTATGTGGTGGTATCTCATTGTGGTTTTGACTTGCATTTCCCTAATGACTAAGGATGTTGAGCATCTTTTCATGTACTTGTTGGACATTTGTGTACCTTATTTGGAGAAATGTCTGTTTAAGTCCCGTGTCCACTTCTAAATTGGTTTGTCTTTTTGTTGTAGCGTTTTAGGAATCCTTTATATATTTTGGATATTAAACCTCAACCAGATATATGATCTGCAAATATTTTCTTGCATTCTGTAGATTGTCTTTTCACTTTCTTGATAGATAATGTCCTTTGAAACTTAACCTCTCTTTTTCTTAAAAGACAGGGCTCTCACTATATCACCCAGGCTGGCCTCAAACTCCAGGCTCAAGCAATTCTCCTACCTCAGCCTCCTGAGTAGCTGCGACTACAGGCATGCAACCACTGTGACCAGCTAATTTTTTAATTTTTTGTGGAGATGGGGTCTCGCTTTGTTGCCCAGGTTCTTAAGCTCCTGGCCTCAAGTGATACTCCCGCCTCAGCCTTCCAAAGTGTTGGGATTACAGGCGTGAGCCACTGCCTGGCCCCAATTATTCCTCTCTTTCTCCTTCCCCCCTTTTGCCTTTCCTTTCCTCACTTTCTTGTTTTGAGACAGGGTCTCTGCTGTACAGGCTGGAGTGCAGTGGTGTGATCATGGCTCACTGGCTATACATGTTTCCTAAGTTTCAGTTTCCTTGTCCATAAAATGAAGGTAATAATAGTAACTACCTCATGATATTTTATAAACACTAAATAAATATAAGTGCCTGGCACAATGTAAACACTCAAGAAGTGTTCACTGTAATTATCAGTAGTAATCATAATAATAAATTATAAAGTTCTATGACAGAACCAATGATAGGAAGTCACAAGATCTTATTTGAGCGAATCCATTATTATTCCCCATAAAAGAGTTGTGAGTAGCAGACTGACTCATTCATTCAAGGCCACCTCTTATTTATGAGCCATGGCTTCATCCAGACCACAATATATATGCTCTTGAATACACATATGTATATACACGCAGAGCTGTGAACATGGGCCCCAGCACCATCAGGGCCTAAATCTCCTAATAAACACAGAATTTGTCAAATTCATACACTTCCGTTTACTTAAAGAGATCTGCTTCATATAAGATTAAGTTGTTTGGTTGGGCGTGTTGGCTCACATTTGTAATCCCAGTACTCTGGAAAGCCGAGGCAGGTGGACTGCTTGAGCGCAGGAGTTTGAGACCAGCCTGGTCAACATGGTGAAACCCCCATCTCTACTAAAAATACAAAAATTAGCCAGGTGTGGTGGCACATGCCTGTTGTCTCAGCTACTTGGGAGGCAGAGGCGGGAGGACCACTTGAGCTTGGGAAGTCGAGGCTGCAGTGAGCTGTGATCATGCTGCTGCATTCCAGCCTGGGTGACAAAGTGAGACCCCATTTCAAAACAAAACAAAACAAAACAAAGGTCTTCACGACTTACATCAACTGAATAAAAGTAGGTGCACTGGACTAGAAAATATTAATTTTGTGTAGGTCTCATATATTTTCCAAACTCTCAGGCTTACATCAATCACACTGATGATCAAGAGCGAAGAAAGGATGAGGATGGGCAGAAACATCACACAGCAAGTGTAACATTCTCACATGTCCAAGATGATCAGTTCAAGTTGGTGCCTGAGGCCAACAGAACTGCTAACAATCCATCCTGAAAGCAAGGATGGCTTCCTCGGTAGGTATAAACTATAACATTCCAAACCAGGCCCAAAGTACCTTTTCTGGAGATTCACACAATATATTTTCTGGTTTCAGATCACGATGAGCAATGCCTGACATGACAAAGAGCAAAAAAATGGTTAACATATGCACATAATTATCCAACATTCCACACACAATTAATTTTTTCCAAATGCTGTTGTTCGCAGATTAATTCCCAATTATGGTACATTAAAAAATCAACGAGCTGCAGGAGGCAGAAGTAACCAGAGACACAAACCAAAAGCACAGTTGATTCTGAAGGTTCTTTTGAAGAGGTTTAGAAGTCTGGCAGGGATAAGAAGGGCTAAATGAATCCCAGCCAGCCTACCCCTCAGCACCACAGTGACCACCAAGAAGAAGGCCTAATGCAGAGCAGAGAGCTCTGCAAACGGCAATGCTTGGAACAGCAATGCAGAAATAATTAGTGCCTTGTTTAAGAGCATCTCAGGGGCCTAACTGCTCTACCTCATTTCTTCTTGTGTGGCCGATTAAAAAAAAAAAAATTCCTTCACTGCGAGTCTCTGAATGTTCAGAGGAGCAAGTATTAGTTACCAAATCTCCCAAAGTGACCGATTCCCTTCTCACCTGCTTTGCATGTCCAAGGCAGCCCTGCCAGCAGCACAGCAAAGACTGCTTTGTCCCCAGGATGCTGTTATTTTTGTTTTTTGAAATAGAGATGGGGTCTCGCTATAGCCCAGGCTGTTCTTGAAATCCTGGCCTCAAGCAGTCCTCCTGCCTTGGCCTCCCTAAGCATGGGGATTACAGGTGTGAGCCGCCACGCTGGGCCCACCGGGGTTGCTGTTTTTAAGAGAAAACCCCTGCACTTTGGCCAGGACTCCTGAAGGAGACTGGAGATAGCAGCTTAGTCCATGAGGGGTTAACCTGCTGACCTGGCCAAGAAGGCACCTGGGGGAGAGCCCTCTTCCAACCACAGAAAGGGACAAAGAACTAACTAAGGGCCATGGTGTTTTGGTGGAGGACACAGAAACCCCCCTTTCCTCTTTCCTTCCACAGCACATGCAGCACAGAGACAGGGCTGGAAGGCTCAGCAAGAGTCAGAGCTACAGCTTGGAAGTACTGGAAAGCGGCAGCGGATTCTCGGGGTGATGGGAAAAGCAAATTCTACTTCACTAAAACTCCCTCAGTGATCAACTTTTTCAGCAGTCCTCCAGCTCCCGACTAGAAGGCAAAGGCCTGGCCCAGGCCACGGGAGGCACTTCACTAAAGAAGAAAAACCTGAGCTCCAGCAAGCTCAGTAACTTCATCAGCCACCTAATTGAACGAGAACCCAGAGCAACTCAGTCCAGGCTGCACAAATTGAGTAGCACTGCTCTGCAGCTCGCCGTACTAAAAGTGAAAGATATTTTCCATTACAGCAAGTGCTCCCACAGAAGGATCACGAGCCGCACATGGAGCCTTACTCTCCAAATAGGCGCCCATGGCCCAGTCGTCCCTCAGCCGGAGAACTCAGAGAGCCAGGCCGTAATAATGGGGCTGCCGTGTGAGCAAAGCAGTCATCGAGCTGCTCCGGTTCATTTCCCAGAGGTTGAGCTGCAATGTGTCCAGTATTTAAAAGTATGGAACTTGTTTCAGGGCTGACCCATTCTTGCCCAATTCATCTTCCTCGTGTGAAGTTATTTAGCAAACAGCCAAGTTCAGCTGGAAATCGTTTTTCATCCCCTCCAACTTCGAGTCACATGGGCAGCTGGCCAGCTACATGTTAACAAGCGCCTCAGAACTCCAAAGACACCACCGGCCTCTGTTCCCTTCAGTGCATTCTTGTAAATAAATAAATAATAAAACCTGCCTTTACCACCCCCTCCAAGGGGTGGATCTTGTAAAAAGCATGACCCAGTTTTGCAGTCTACAGAGGCAGCTTGGGGAGCAGCTGTAAATCTTTGTCAGGCAGGTGTTACCTCTATGCATCCCAGCTTTCAGAAACAGAGCTGCTGCTATTCATCATGCTGTGGAAGGCACAGACACCCCCTTCTAGTTTTCATCCTAGGTGCAAGTCAGGGCCCCAACATGGGCACTGTTGGTATGCAGACCTCCTTCAGCCACTGGAGGAGGGAGGTGGGCTCCATGAACCTGAACCTCCTGGACACACGCCACACTCGTCTGCACCGGATTGTGGGCACCAGGTGGAACGTGTGAATAGCATGCCTCCCACTGGTCCCGGGCACCCACAACCAATGTGGCTGGCCAACATCCCCAACAGAGAGGGGGCAGACCTAAGTCACAAGTTATTCACTTCACTCCCACCCCCACCAGGCAGAATGCTTTAACGGAATATTAGGAATAAAAATGCTTTCTTCCCGGTGGGGGGGTGAGGATGGAGGAAATAAATCGTATTTATTGAAGAACTACGACATACCAGGAACTATACTCCATCTATGCTGCACATATACAATACAAACACAAGGTACACATTTTTCATCTAGAAAAGGCTTAGAATAGTGCCTAGCACATACCAAGTGCTATACAGTGTTAACTACAGTCTATGACGCTATTATCTCAAATTCTCACCATAGGGTAGGCATTATTACTGATAGAACACATAGCTAGAAGACACGTGAAACCAGGATTCATTTTTTCCAGGGTACTGCTGTTAGGCAAATTAAAAAAAAAAGTATGGAATAGTCAAACGGATTTATGGAAATGTAAAAACAATGTGTGGAAAGATCTAAGTCACTACAAAAGTTCCTAAATAATCAGTCATAGGAAAGGGACTGTAACCTGAAGTGTAAATCAAATCTAGTAACCTGTGAGTTACCAATGTGCTCTTCAACAGATACCTCAAATGTACATGTTAATAGAAAAGTATAAGATAGGCACCGTGACTCACACCTGTAATCCCAGCAATTTGGGAGGTTGAGGCAGGAGGATTGCTTGAGCCCAGGAGTTTGAGACCAGCCTGGGCAACATAGGGAAACTCCATCTCTACAAAAAATTACAAAAATTAGCTGGTTGTGGTGGCACACACCTGTAGTCCCAGCTACTTGGGAGGCTGAGGTGGGAGGATTACTGGAGCCCAGGGAGGCTGGGGCTGCAGTGAGCCCTGATGGCGCCCCTGCACTCCAGCCTAGGTGACAGACTGAGATCTTGTCTAAAAAAGAAAAAAAGGAAAAAGAAAAATATATTTTTCATTTACTGTGAACAAGATATATTAAACTATGTATATCCTATCGTGCCAATTTTGAAAAGAGACAGAGGTGATGTATTTTAAAAGACTAGAAAGAATAACACCAAGATATTCACATTAAGAAGGTCATATTGTGTATGAGCTTTATATTCCTCACATGGTAAGAATCTAAGAAAAGAAACATCATCCACACACAGTCACACATACCCTGTTCAATGTGAAATTTATGCTTTCTCCTCCCTGCTCTTTCTCCTGTATCCCTATGCTGCTCAGCAGCTCCACCACCCACCCACCGTTCACAGCAGAAGCCTCGGAGCCATCTTGGACTGTTTCTCCCCCAACTCCCATGGGTGAGCGTGTTCAAACCTCAAGCTGCCTTCCAGCCACACCATCTCCTGCACCAGCCCTCTGCCTGGCCTACCACCTCCCTTGGTACCTAGAGGCTGGCCAGCCCAACCCACCCACCAAGGCAAAGGCTGGGTTCACCTTTGGTATGCAGGAAGTCAAGGGCAGCAGCAACGTCCCGCACCACTCGGCTGGCTTCTCGCTCATTGAAGTGCTTTTGCTTCTGGATGTGGGCTAAGATGGAACCTGGGGAGTAGAGGGGACACAGAGGAATGCCTTTTTGGGCTCTAGTAAGTATAACTTCTTTTTTTTTTTTGAGACGAAGTCTCGCTCTGTCACCCAGGCTGGAGTGCAGTGGTGCAATCTCGGCTCACTCTCGAACTCCTGACCAAGGGATCCGCCCGCCTCAGCCTCCCACACTGCTGGGATTACAGGTGTGAGCCACTGCACCTGGCCGTATAACTTCTTAGAGGCCATGTTTTCCCAAGTTTGGAAAACTTGGCGTGGGGACATGGGGATTCATCGCTTATTCATCACTACCTGTCCAGCTCCAAGTGTGGGGCCTGGCACAGAGGAGGTACCAGCTTGTATGTCTGTTAAACAAAACTGCACTGCTCTCTTCTGTACCTGTCTATGAGGAGCTCAGAAGCGAGAGCCAAAAAATATTAACAATGCTGGGGCTGATCTGGCTTCTGCAATCAAAAGGAATAAAACTGAAGGCACTTGGAGCTGAGGGGGACTCTCTGTAGCAGCATTTTCTCCCCTGCATCTGATCTCTGATCCAAACAAGAGCACAAACTTTCAAATGGAAATGCCACACCCTTGCCAGACATGTAAAGGCCTGGGAAAAGGGGGAAAAATGGGTTTTCCTCCTGAGTGTTCCCATTTATTATTGTTTTGTTGGCAATGGCTAACATTTACTGAGTAGTTACTAGTGCCATGTGCTATGGAATACTCTTGAAATAAACTGTCTTATTCTCACAATTGGACAAAATGGGTAGTATACTTATCCTCGTTTTACAGAGGGGGATCCTGAAGCCAAAAAGAAAAACGGTCGAGGAACGTGCCCAAGATTACGCACCAGTAAGGGGTGACGCCAGGACTTAGGCCCAGGGCAGTTAGGCTTCAGAGTCTGTGCAGACAGCCCCCAGCAGGACTTGTGGTCTGACTGCTGCAGGGATGGACTCTCTTGAGCCAACCACACTGGGTCTGGCCTCAATAAGCTACATTAAGTTTACTGATATGGCAACAGAGGATCCCATCTGCATGCAGCATTTCAAACATGTACTTAACAGTCAGTCATGTGTTGTTGGGTGGTGCAGGGGCAGACACAGGCAGGAACATGCGGCTTGGCTTCATGTGGTCTACGTTTACTACTAGAAGCCAGTATTTCTGGGCTGCAGGTATTATCTCCGTGTCCTAAAGATGGCACGTGTCTACTGTTTTTATGGGGGGGGATGGGGAGAGCATGAGAGAAGGGGAAGAACTGCCAAAGACTGTTCATTTGCCAGATTAAACAACGGATCCCAATGTGCTAGGGAACATTCCCAGAAAACCGGCTCCTGACTAGGTCCTAGCTTGCTCTGCTATAGTGAGCCTCGTTTTCAAATCTGCTAAAAGGAAAAGCAGAGAGTAATGCTCTACATTCTTTTTTTTTTTTGAGACGGAGTCTCGCGCTGTTGCCCAGGTTGGAGTGCAGCGGTGTGATCTCAGCTCACTGCAACCTCTGCCTCCCAGGTTCAAGCGATTCTCCTGCCTCAGCCTCCTGAGTAGCTGGGATTATAGGCATGTGCCAGCACGCCCAGCTAATTTTTGTATTTTTAGTAGAGACGGGTTTCACCATGTTGGCCAGGCTGGTCTTGAACTCCTGACCTCAAGTGATCTGCCCACCTTGGCATCCCAAGGTGCTGGGATTACAGGTGTGAGCCACCACACCTGGTCTACTCTACATAATTCTAAGACAGCCTCCAGCATACCAAATTGTTTTAATAATATTAGCAGCCAACATTTATTGGGCCCTTGATGCCTACCAGACACTGTGCTAAGCATTTCACATGAATTATCTCATTTAATATTCATAGCAACCCAGTGAGGTAGGTGCTATCAATATCTCTATTTTATAGAAGGGGATATTGTTTGGAAAAGGTTAAGTGACTTGCCCAGGATCACATATGGCTGGTAAGTGATGGAGCGAGACTTAAGCCATAGCTGTGTTGGTTTCTAAAGCATGCTCCCTCAGCCACCAAGTCCCTCCATGTGGCCCTCCATGCAGCTCCAGACATCCTTGCAAGTGTGCCCTAAGATTGGGGGAGTGCTGGGAAGGGAAAGGGCTTCTCTGCCCCACCTCATTATGTCAGAAAAGCAACTTAAGTATACACCCCAGTGATTGTGTGTGATGGCATCTTTCTATCTGAAGGATGGCACATTCTCAGGCTTCCCTTCTATCCTGGGTCTGTGTCCCAAACAATAGGACCCTCCTCTCCTCTGTTTTAGCCTTTCTAGACTTCACAATGTATTTGAGAGCTTCCACCCCATAATTAATGTAGTTAAATAGTGAACATGTCAAAATGGGATTGATAAATCGATGACTAAGTGTATCTATATATGACTCCTATTATAATGAAAAGGCATTTATAAAATACCCACACAGGTGACATTCTAAGCTCTGCAAAATGCTAATTATCATCCTTCCCTCCGGCCTCCCTTCTCCCAAATCAAGGGCAGTTTTTAAGTCCTTCATCCTTTTTATTAGCTTGACTCGTTTTGGAAGTCTCTGGGATTCATGATGGATGATCACCACCCTGGGTCTTAATCAGAAGTCCACACACATACTCAACGGTAAGTACCTCCTTGCAATTTCTCAAAGACCAAGTAAAACCTTGTGTCATCTTCAAAGAACTCAATCAGCTCCAAAATGTTCCTTAAATAGGGAAAATAGGAGGAGAGGGAAAAGGGGGGAAATGGTATTATATATTAAAGTCTACTTACAAATACACAATGAAAAAAATATACAACACCTGGCAGTGGGGCAGAAATCAACTTGAAATCAGAATGCTTATTAAAGACCCGCGTGTGGAAGCAGCCAATGGTGTTAGCAAGATTCAGGTCACCTTATCTTTCCATAATGTTTAGTCTCTGGTGTTTTCACCAAGTCTGTGCTGTCAAACCCCAGCCCTAAAACCCACTAGGTAGAGTTATAAAAAAGTCCCGGTCACATTAAACTGAATAAAATCTGCAGCCGACTGGAAGCAATTGCGGCTAATAACACTGAATAGTAGGTGTGTGTCCTGGAGGCAAGCAGCAAATAATTACTTGCCCTCCCTCTTGCCCATAAATCATGGGGCAGTATTTACATTGCCTGGAGAAAATGGAAACATCTGTCAAATAGACTTGGGGCCTAACGTGGGCACCGCTAGACCCTAACTGCTAAGCGCTGCTTAATGAAACGGCCGCGTTCCCGGCCACCGTAGCACTTGTGGCCTTCCCCGGTGAGCACTCTCTATCTGCCCGAGTATTTCAGTGCTCCGCCAACAAGGTCGTCTTGTAACTCAGTAGGGAAGCCACCAGCCTGGATATTGGAGGTGTTGGGGGCTTTTTTTCTTTTAAAGAATAAAATAAACCAAGTAGAGTCTCTAATGCTGAACTAAGAAGCTGCAGGGCTGAAAATAAAAATCTGTCCCTCATAAAAAAAATGCTGACTACTTTGGGAGATACCAGGCTTTTACTAGTGTGAAGGCGTCCAAATAAGATGGGCAAAATGGCCTCATTTGAAAGAAGATTGTGAAGGCAGTGCCTGGAGTTAAATCAACAGCAGCCCCCATCCTCCAAGCTTAATGACAAAGCCATCAATACCAGGCCACTGGCTCCCTGCTGACCCTGCCATGGAGGGAGAGGGGGGGAAGTGGAGTCTTAGAGGTGACCCTGATTTAAAGCCATGCTGGGAGAGCTGCTCATTTGGAGCTGGTGGTGGGCAGAATGAACTGAGGCTAGAGATGACCTGGACCCAGCTATCTAGAAGGAGTGCTAGACAAGGTTCCAGAATCTTAGTGGTATCTGCACATACGTAAATATTCTGGGAGTAGAAACTGCAGCAAATATTCTTAACAGTTCTCCTCATCTTGGTATTAAGGGCAAGTCCTTAAAGATTTCTACCAGGCAACACTCAGTCAACCTAGTTTCCACAGGTACCAAAAGAAATAAAACCCCATTTCCCCCCAACAACCACTGATTCAGATGGTTCGTTCTTCTAACTTGCCTGAACTGCTGATTATTTACAGCATTTCAGAAGACACAACAGCTCCTTAGATGTTACTGCTGCTTTTCCTTTCTCTCCCTAATACTGAAAGGTGGAAGGAGGTACCTGCCTTGTGGGGACAGGAGAGCTAAATGCTGGGGTCAGGAGATAGTAAGAAATAGCCTCTGCTTCTGTGGCCAAGCGTCCCCCCAGTGAAGCAGCGAGAATCACACGATACTCACTTGTTTCCCTGACACTGATACAGCGTCTCCACCTCTCGAAACACCCTACTTCGACTGTGCCCTGCTTGTTTTTCAATGATCTGTGGGAAGAATAAAATCTGTCATGTACACCCGCCTGACTTCAAAACAGCCCCCTGGCAGGAGCCCTCTGGGAGAATGCAAGGCCATCCTCAGGCCAAATCCAGTGTCCAGCAGAAGTCTGGCCTAGGCCATGGTGACACCAGCACTGTGGCTCTGTTGGCAAAGCAGCAGACTGGCCTCAGGGCTTTCCAGCCCAGCTGAGCCCGTTCCACTCTGGCCAAGCACAACACCAAGGAAGTGAATGAGGCTGCCGCCCCCAGCTGCCCAGGGGAGACTGAGGCAGCCGGCTAGACAAAGAGCTACCTTACTCAGCTCCTCCTCCTGTGGGCATCTCTTATCCGCCTTAAGGGTAAGCATTTACTACGTCTACTGAAGGATCTTCTCATGCTGGAGGGAGAAAGGCTGATGGAGGACACCATGGGGAGGAGCTAAAGCTTTGACACCCAGCTCAGAGGCTGCCTCCATGATCCCCCTGGCAGAAGTAGGCTCTTCCTCTTCTGAGAACTTACTCTTTGGCAGAGGATGAGAGAGAAAAAGCAGCCAATGGTGTTAGCAAGATTCAGGTCAC